TTACCTTTATTGCCATTGAAGAGATTCCCTCTCTCAACTGTAGCTCGGCGTACAGTTAGCCACAGATATTAGGCTGATAAAACAATACGGTTTCAACATTAAATTAATTCTTAGAAACCACTACTGTTTTCATTAAAAAACACCAGAGGTTCTATCCGTTATCACACATAAGACCCTTCAAATCTGATTGGTTTAAAGTATTGTCAGACTATTAAGATTAAAAAAATCAAAATTTTCATTAACAGCAGAAGCTCAATATACAATTTGGCAATTTTGGCCCTCTAACAGAAAAGACCGAAAGTTATCACAGAGGTTATGAAAAAAAATTGTTTAATCTTCACTATAAACCTTTTAATTACAAATTCTGCTGCAGTATTAAAACATTTGTCATCAAGCTGTATATAATTTTTGCTGGGGAAATAATTGTATGAATCTTGGAAAAGGAATTAAAACTTCAACTGACAAAATAATTGACACTGGGGCTATTTTCAAGGGCGAAGGACCAAATGGGCGATAGATTCATGGACGAAGGATCACAAATAAAAGCAGTGGAAAGTTAATGATTACACAGCGGCAAAGCTTCGCTTCGCAAACACTTGCGAGAACACGACAAAAAGCAGCTTTATAACATGCAATAATTAAAATTAGAAATAGCCCTCGAATTAGTAAAAATTTGGCTATCTCTGAGACAGAGGTTAAGATTCACAGACTAACTACATAGCCACGGAAAGAAGCTGTGGCTTATGGTGTTTTTCTCCAATATTAGATAGCTTAATGCTCGTAGCTGAAATGTAGTATCTTTTTCCAATTTTTTAAACTTGTGAATCGTATTCAAAAAATAAATTCGAAAAATTTAACCGATGTCGAGAGAAAAATCTGGTTTTTCTGCTATTCATTTTCAAATTTAGCTAGTAGTAGGTTATCTAACAAAGAATTAATTTGATAATTAAAAAATTTATACTTGAGAAAATTTTAGTTGAATGTTTATAGCTAACTAACAAACAGTAAACAATTATACTATTAATAGGTAAGTAATATGTTTCAAAGAGAAACTTTAATTTGCAGATTCGTTTACATAAAAAAACTAGTTTCGATTTTTTAACGAGTTTTTTCATGGTCACTATTGTTCTTTAAAAATGATGAGCTCATGAAAATAGTATCAATAATCAAATTCAATTTTTCATTAAGATTTTTTTTGGAAATTGTTTTGTGCACAAATTTTCCGGTTTTCTTTCTGCTAAACAAACCCACAAAAGCTATGGCAGTTTATATCAAGAATCTGCAAACAAAAATTTTAACAGGTGAAATTTTTTTTTCTGTTTAACTCGAGACCATCAACAAATTCAATTCTTTTTTATTTTGAAACTTACGAATTTTTTTTTGATTATATAATATTTCAATCAATCGCTTTTCAGAGCCAAAACAAATATAACCGGTACCTCAAGTTTCATCAACCTAGCGATTTTCAATATTGTATTGTTTGACAACTTAGTGTCTTTGCGAGTTTAACTTCATTTGAATTTAGAAAATTGGTTGCTAACTTCTCATGGTTGAGTTGTTTTGACACTATTGTTGCTTTGAAGTTATTATAAAACCAAAACAAAGATATTCGGTTACTATGCAAGTAGCACAGAACTTTCCGAACAAATTTAAAAACCAAAGAATCTTTTTTGAAGCTTTTGTGCTCTAAATTACCAGCTTTTTAAAAAAAAATTATACAAATGGCTGTTGACCTAGTTGGAAAAAACAAAAAGAACAGCAGTTGGTCTAATTAAAAAACATTAAAAATGTCTTGAAACGAAAAACAAATTTTACCAGTTTTTCTTTAAACTGAGACTGTTTTGAGATTTTAAAAAGCGTAATCACGACACACATGGGTTTAATATGATACCACACTTGAGAGCTTGCGAGTTTTTTGAAGCAGTCAAAATTGGCTGAAAAAAAAACAGACCAAACGCCAGAGGTCGGACAATAAGATTTTGTTTGAAAAAAGTTGCAAATGGACAAAGATGAGTCTTGATGCTCGCTTAGAAGTACTAAGCCACCATATTAACTGAGTCCGACTCAAAAAGCTCATTTAGCAGTGCGATCCGACAGACTACTTGTAATACTTCTGAAAACTTGCTGAAAACAAAAGAAAGTACTTCAAGCGGATGAACACTTGGGAACAAAACGTGAGCTCATAAAGAAGGAATTAAATAAAAAAACCAAACCATTACATTTAAAAACTAGAAATTCTGAAAAAATGGAATATCGCAAAGAAAGAAAAAAAATCAGACCAATAAGTTCTATATCAGCCGAATACAAAAGCAGCAAGTTTGCAAGTTTACGTGCTGCGAGTTTGCCGGAACCGAGAACTGAACTGTTTTTGAAAGTGGCTATTGATTATAGAAATAGAATCGAAGCTCGCCCACTACCAGTACTGAAATAATGACAACTCTAATTATAATTTAGGCTTCGGTTTTCTGCATAATCTTTCGTTGAACAAAAATTTGTTACGGTTTTGTTACACTCTGATTTGTGGAAAGTTTTCCATGATTCAGTCAATCTATGATGAGAATAGCCCCTACTCAAACACTTCACGAAAATTTTTCCTCTAGAAAATGCTTAAATTTCCAGGAAACAGAATTGACAAATGTTTTAGAAAACAAATAAATACTAGAGCCTGAATTTAATGCATTGAGAAAATACACCTTGACATTCAAAAAGCACGTCACATTTTGTTATAACAAATTACATCATTGTGAAGATCTTTATATTACAATAAATCAATCTTCAGTCTTGCCGAAATCAACTCGCAACACGCCTCGCACCATCTTCACTTCTGTAATTGGAGTCATTTAAGTATTAATTGAAAAATTATTTCGAAAACGGAAATTGAACATAACTCAAACGATGAAAATTTTCAACAAGAATAGCCAGTTGCTGAGCTGTTGCACAGAATGTTCCGACTTATTCTGAAGAAACTAGGTTTTTCTATTTTTTTTCCAAATTAGTGTAGTTTTTTACGTTGTGGGATATTCTTAGGCATATTCAAATTTAGGCATATTCGATATTAGTAGTAAAATAAGCAAATTATACAAGTTTTGGTCAAAAATTTCAAAAAAAAATATACTAAATTCCCAAACTTGAGCTAACAACTTCGAAACTAATCTAAATGGAATTAAACTAAATTTTCATGACTTGAACAAAAGTTTCGAGGCTGATAGCTCTAATAAACCTATTCTCATCCTTCATTTTCTCAAAATTAAACTAAAACTGAAAAAAAATAGAAACCAAACAAATTACGAAAAACTTCGAACCAATCAAAAATAATTTTTACATTTTTTTTGTCGTTTGAATCAAGATTGAAAAGGATCTGATTTGATATATCGCTCGTCCTATTCCGATGATTGTCTTTACCAAATTGGTGTGGAAAATAAACAATTGGCCCACATACAGTTGGAAAAGAGTCCATGAACGCAAGTGAACAGAAAAACTTGTTTCTGGAAACAACCACTACTTTCTGAATTTGAAGAAAAAACTCAATGGCCTTGATGTTCTTCAGTTTCTAGAACAATATTTTTCTGACAGGTTTTTGATAAAACTAACACAGTTTGAGAAAACTGGATCAAAAGCTAAAGCTTTTTATTTCGCTGGGAAATCTGAAAATTAAATTCCATTTAAGAAACTAGAAATCGATCAAGTTTTTCGTGACCGTTACACTGGTGCAGTTCGATAGTGGAGTTTGCCTTCCTTTCAACAAAGGAAATGAACTGAACTTCAATTCAAGAGGCAAAATCCTTAAATTTTGAAAAATCTTATGGACATATATAAGAATATTCACTACGCTCATGACTCTTAAAAATTGAAAACACCCGAATACAAAGTTCCTCCTCATCATCAATGGTACGAACAAAAGACTTTTCACTAACAAAATTCTGAGACACCACCCAAGTGATCATTCAACTCAGAATCTGAAAAAAACCCAATGAAGATTAAAATTAAGCTCTACCTACCCAAAGTTGAGTGCCTTACGTCGGCTTTCCGTTTCTTCAAGCAAAAAAATGTGATACAAAAATACACCTAAAAAGATTTTTGCATCACGAAGACGTTAATAAAAGAAATCTTCTATTGTGCATCAACTGTAGCTTCAATTAATTTGGTTCCTCAAAGGCTAATTTGGTTCCTCAAAAAGTGGACTTTACCAACACGATAGGACTCAAAGCACGGTTGCTGCAATGGATGTGGGAGCATTTCGAGAAAAGATTCGATGACTCCAACCCCTGTAGCTGGAAAATTCTGTGCGACTGTACCCGAAACAACTGCAGAAATATGTCTAACTAACTTAACTGAAACTGTGGGGGAAACCCCTTGCGTACGCTAAATTCATATTATTATTATTATGATTATTATTATTAATCTTTAAGAAAGACTTTAATTAATTAGACAACCTTCAGAACGTCTGGATCAACCGTACATCCCCCTGCCCTAAATGACCTACCGTAGAATGTCCTCCCCAAGCATGTATTGTTTTTGAAAAAAAATTCAGCATTAATTATTCATTTTAAACAATGCACGCTGAATATAATGCTGCAGAAAATTTTTAATAGCGAATAGCTATTTTATCATGTTAATAGCGTAAAATATTCAACATTATTTAGTATCAATTAATTTTTTTGACTAATTAGATTAAATTACTTTGCCCTCGAAGTCAATTTCTTAAAACGATATTTAATCCCCCCTAAATCGATTTGGGAGGGGGGTTGTACGGTTGATCTGAACGGCTTGACAATGAAAGAATTTAAATTCAATTTTAGAGATGATTAAATGAAATGACTGGAAGAGCTCCAACTGCAAAAAGAGTATGGTTTACGGCGAATAAGACAACAGCTATTAAGACAACAACCGTTTTCAATTGATGGGACTAAGACTATGCGGCTCATAATTATCTAATTGTTTGTCTGAGAAATATACACCAATCAATTTCGAGCAGTTCATTAAAAGATTTTAAATGCTATTTGTTGTCTCAATGACATGTCGCCGTAATGTCCCGTCGTCTTTTTAACCTAGCACCGGAGGGAGTGTTCCGAAAATGATCTTTTCGGAACAAGCATTTCGATTTATTCAGCTTTACTAGAGTAGCATTGAAAACTTAAGACTGTCTTCTTTCTTTACATTAACATTTACAATAACTGTCATTTTCAATTAATTATATTAGTGCTGCGTACGACTTCGATAGCAGTCGTCACTAAAAAATTAGAATCAACTAAGATCTGGGAACGAAATCATATTCAAACAGCGACTATGCAGGATTTTTTGAGAATTTCTTGTTAGATCAAGTGCTCTTGTCAGCAGACTGTCCATGGAGTGTTAACAACACTGACATATGAAGACAAAAAGAGTTCTCTGCCACTTATGGAGACACTTCGAACCAATCTATAATGAAAATCCAAAGCTGGGAGGAGACACTTGACCTTAACAAGCATCTCATTCGGATTTCAATGAAATTTATTCCTTTCCAACATTAGTTCTGAGGTTGCAGTTCTGCATATATCAGTCCATCATTTCTCAATTCAACTTGAAAATCGTCGTCTTCTATTAGTTGTTGCTGCAGCTGCAATGCCAGCATATCCAGTTCGCCTGGATCCATAGGTGGTCCCGGAGTTGCTTCTCTATCCTGAAGGGGGTCTTCGGGGCCGAGTAGTCCCAAGGCCTGTGGGTTGATGTGGACTTCGACCACTGGTGCTGCTCTATTCACGGGCAGAATTGCTTCAGGGGGACGCTCATGTTGCACAATCGGCTCCTCTACCTTTGAACATTGAACTATCAATTCAACCATGAACATAAATCGCTCACCATTCCATTGAGTTTTTAATCCCGAACTTAGGAAGCGAATTTCCACGAATAAACATAGCCAACAGAAAGTTGGAAAGTATTAATGAACGCAAGGAAAGAAAAAAAACTGACTTCTTTTTTGAAAAAACTTCAACTTTCAAATTTCCAAGAAAAAAAATAGATGGCTTTAAAACTCTTTGAAATTCATGAACATTTTATGATTGGTGCTTTTTGATAAAATTAACACAACTTGAGAAATCTGGATCAATAGGTAAATTTATTTATTTCGCTGGGCAATCTGATAATTAAACTTCACTAGCAAGCCCGCCTCCAATAATCAATTGGCTCGCAAAAAAGTGTTTTGATCAAGCTATCCAAGCAATGAAACTTTGAACAATTTCAAGTTGAGCCATATCGTAAATCGGTTTGAAAAACTTCAGGCTTCGTAGAACGAATCTGTTCCCGAACAATTGAAGTGTTTCTAGGCAAGCTATTCAAGCTGAGACTTTGAAATAATTCAAAATGTTTCATGAAACAAATCGGAAGGCGAAATTTCAGTTTTTTATATGAAAAAATTTCAAGCGATGAAACATTGAATTATTTAAAGTTGTTTCATAGAGCGAATAAATTCGCAAAAAAATGAAGTTTTTCTAGGCAAGCTATTAAAGCACGGAAAATTTGAAAAAAATTCACGTTGTTCGATAAAGCGTATCAAATGGCAAAAAGTAAAAACTTTTTTTTAGTGAGCTATTCAAGAGATGAAATATTTCATGTTACTTCACACAGGGAACTGGTTCACAAAAGATCAAACTATTAGAGCTATGAAACTTGGAATTATTTCAAGGTTTTCATACAATGAATGTTGGCTAATAATATTATGCTTTGAAACATTTTAGAACGAATTGGTTCACAAAAAGCTTATGTTTTCCTTAAGCAAGCTATTCAAGCTATACACCTTTGACACCAACTACAGCGAATCAGATAGCGCAAAAACAAAAATTTATTTTGAAGCCACTGAAAACTAAAGAAACTTTGGTTTTTTGATATTAGTTCATAAACTTTACCGGATAGGAATTATTTCAACTTTTTCTACTGGAGTCAATCACGCGATGGAATTTTTAACTATTTCAAGATATTTGACAGATCAAAGTGATCAGCAAAAAAAACTAAGTTTTAGTATGCTAGCTATTTGGCCTAAGCTTTGATACGCTTCAACTTATCTCTTAGACCGAATCGGTTCACGAAAAGCCTATGTTTTTCTTGAGCAAGCTATTCAAGTTATGAAAGTTTGAATTACTTCAAGTTATTTCTGGACCGAATCAGTTCGCAAAATGTTGAAGTTTATCTAAGCAATAATTTCAAGTCAGGAAACTTTGAAATATTTCATATCGCTTATTGGATCATATTTTTAATTGAGCAAGGAAACATTTTTAAAATTTAAGACCGGTGCATGAAGCCAATCTCGTGGCAACAAATTTAAGTATTTCTAAGCAAGCTAGTTAAGTTATGAAACTTCAAAATATTTCAAGTTATTTCATGAAGTTGAAATAGAAAAAAAAGCTAGCAAACGAGATAGCGATCTTACAGTCTTCTAAGCAGGCTATTCAAGCTATGTGACTTAGAATTTTCCAAAATATTTAGTTGATCGAATCGATTTGCAAAAAAAAATTAGAATTTTTCTTAGCAAGCTTTTTAGGTGAAAAATTCAAAATAATTCAAGTTAGTTTGAATCCCGAATCAGTTTGCGAAAAGCTTAAAATTTTCTAAACAAGCATTTCAAGCTATGAAACTTCGAATTTTTTCTAATCAAGCTTTTAAAGCTATGAAATGTTGATTTATTTCAAGTTAATTCATAAACCGAATCAGTTTGCGAAAAGCTTTAAGCTTTTCGACGCAAGTTAGTCAAGCAATAAAACTTTGAAATATTTCAAGTTATTTTGCTGACCAAGTCGGTTCACGAAAAGTTGAGTTTTTCTTAGCAACCTTTTAGAGCTATTAAACTTTGAACTATTTCAAGTTAATTTATAGACTAAATCGGCTCAGGAAAAGCTGAAAATTTTCGAAGAAAGCTTTTAAAGCTATGAAATTTTGATTTATTTCAAGTTAATTCATTAATTCATAAACGGAATCAATTTGCGAAAAGCTTTAAACTTTTCGACGCAAGCTAGTCAAGCTATAAAACTTTGAAATATTTCAAGTTATTTTGCTGACCAAGTCGGTTCACGAAAAGTTAAGTTTTTCTTAGCAACCTTTTAGAGCTATGAAACTTTGAACTATTTCAAGTTAATTTATAGACTGAATCGGCTCAGGAAAAGCTGAAAATTTTCTAAGCAAGCTTTTAAAGCTATGAAGTTTGGAATTATTTCAGGTTCTTTCATAGACCGAATCGTTTTGCGAAAAACTTCAGCTTATCTAAGCGAGCTATTAAAGCTCTGAAAACTTAATATTTTTTTGCAAAAAGGTTGCTTACAAAATGTTTGCGAAAGCTTGTCTTTAAAAACTTAAGCTTTTCGCAAAACGATTCGGTCTATGAGATAACTTGAAATAATTCAACGTTTTGCTGAGCACACGATTGATGCGATGAAACTTTTAAATTTTTCAAGTTATTTCAAGGGGCAAATCGGTTTGGGAAAAGCTTAAGTTTTTCTAAGCAAGCTATTCAGGCAATGAAACTTTGATTTATCTAAAATTTTCATAGAGCAAATCGATTGGCGAAAAGTTTATGTTTTTTTAAACGCTGCATTCGGCAAAGCTAAAACATTGCATTCAGCTAAACATTGCGTCCATCAGGCAATCGGAGTAACATTTAATATATAAGACTATCGAAATTAAAAGTCGATCACATTTTTCGTGACCTTAACATTTTAGCTGCTCGATAGTGGACTTTTCCTTCCTTTTAACAAAGGAAATGAACTGAACTTAAAGAATTCAATAGTCAAACCGCGAAAAATCAAATTTGAGTAAGAACTTTTTCTGAACAAAAAAATCACGAAGACGTATATAAGAGTTTTCACTTTAATCACTATTCTTAAAGAATCATAATGATAATGAATTACCGCTGAACATGATCTCTCTGGCTGAAAGACATGATCATCACTACCAATAAAGCATTACCAATGGGAACATATTTTTTCTGATCTTACATAAATTTATTCCTCGGCCCTCTTTTTGACGATAGAAGCAAAAATATTAACCGCTTCAAATGCTGCCATTCTCTCTGCTTCTGACATTCCATCATACAGCTTCTGATAACAAGCTGACCTCTCGGCGGAAAAGTGAGCATAGGGATTTGCTTTTTTCAGTTTGGTGTTACATAACCAACACCAGTGACATCCACACCTCGCACACCACATTTTGTTACACCCTTTCGTTTTCTGGGTTCCTATGTGACAAGACGGGCAGGCCTTGGAGTTATTGGACACCCACTCAATGGAACGACTCTCGTGCACGTAGTTGAGCAGCTGCTGCTTCCCATACTTGAGCTCTAGCTCTCGTTTTGTCCTCACATCACCCTTCTCGTAAGCGTCTCGAATTTTGGCCACGCGTTCATTTCGGTGGGTACATATTTCAACCCCATGGAATGAACGAAGGCACATTTTACAGAAGGAAAATGAGCACTGAAACAATATATTAGATCAAATAGTTTGAAGTCGATGCAAACTTAGTATTTCATTTTGGCGGTTTTAGTGTTCAATTAGCTTTATGGAACATAAATGGTTAACGTTGTCAAGAAGAGATCACTATTATTAATTCTGTATGATAATTTTGAAACTAATTCTTATATCTTCAGTGACATTTGATTGGTTGTTGGTAAATGAAATCTAACTTAAACGCATTGCTGTTTTTGTTACCTTATGACACACCGCGAGGTTGGAGTCCTGTTCTCCTATCACAGGCGTCTCACAGTTGATTCGGGGACAGGTTACTACATCGTGCATACTCTCCAAGGCCACTTTCAACTGCTGATTCTCGTAACTAACGCAACAAAGCAACTTAAATTAGGCAGCTTCAATAAGAGTCTTACACTGAGAAAAAGCCCCAGCTTAAGTAACTCCCGATGAAGTCATCCTAAATAAAGAAATAATTACAGGCAAACTCATCTCAGGCAATCTTCCAAACTAAAGGGAATATAGTTAAAGCCAAACTTTTGGCAATATCGGTGAACTTGAGCTAGTTATTTGGTCACAGAACGGTGCTATTGTATAGCTTTTAAATGTATCGGAAAACGTATTAAATTTTTAAAATAATTATGACCTTCAAATTTAAACTAAATCAGAACAATTCTATGCAGTTTCGTGTTTGCCTTTTTGTCGGCGTTTTATGTGTTTTTTTTTCGCTCTAAAAAGTTACATGGAAAATCGTTGTTGAATAAAAAAGTTTTCGTTAATTGTTCTCTTGAAATTAGGCAAAAATGAAACTCTCCGAAAAAGCGCAAAGATTATGCTTTGCTCTTTTGATAGTTAAATGCAATTTTGAAAATTCGGCTGCAGTTTTAACACCCTTTCGCCCTTTCACTGTCTCAAGGTCAGAATTATTTCAAAATTTTAAGATGTTGTCCGATAAACTTAACAAAATCTATATAATTAGTAGCAAAAAGTTCGGACAGACAAAAATAATTAAAAAGAGCAAATTACCTTTTTCAGACAATTTTTGCATGCAAAAGCTAAATTTTCAGACAGAAAGTATGTCTCAATGTCACCTAAAAATTCAAATCTGCATGCAAAAATTGCTCAAAATTGGCAGATTGCTCTTTTTAATTATTTCTGTCTGTCCGAACTTTTTGCAACTCTCTATATTTTTTTCATAGTTAATGCCAAATTGTTGGCAATATCCTTTTCGGTCAACGAACCTGATCGAAGTTAATCAACCTAAAACTGCTCATTTCAACGTCGGATTTTAGTTTTTCACTGATTTCCACACGTAAAAACCATTTCCAAAAAAGACTGATTAACCAGCAATGCTAGTTTTTGACCGATTAATTGCTCAAGGTTACCTACATGTTTAATTAGTAGCAAAAAGTTCGGACAGACAAAATTAATTAAAAAGAGCAATTGACATATTTTGGAAAATTTTGCATGCAAAATCTAATTTTTCAGTCCGATTTTGTGTCTCAAGGTTGTATGAAAAAAGAAATTGCGTGCAAAAATCTGTCAAAATGGTACGATTGCTCTTTTTAATTAATTCTATCTGTCCGAACTTTTTGCAACTCTCTATATAATGCCAACAATTTGGCGTTTATAACTTTTAACAATTTTTATAGAGAGTTGCAAAAAATTCGGACAGACAGAATTAATTAAAAAGAACAACTGTCTAGGCATCAACGGAAAATAAAACTGAAATAAACATAACGTCGAAACTCTGAAATAAAGCAGAGTTTCGCTCAAGACCTTTAACATCGGCGGCCAATTGCATCCGAAGCGTCGAATAAAAACCTTGAAACAGGAAAACTATTGCTCAGGGTGGCTAATGTTTTTCTGCGATTAGTTTCCAAATTTTGAATAATATGATCATCTTAACTTTCGTTTAATTTTTGTTGCGCGGCCTGATCTGTTTTTTTTTTGCTGTTGAAAATAACTCTAGATTTCAATTTTTTCAACTAATTTTGCTAACTGTTTTATAGTAAAATCTGGAAGATCATCGCAGTATTTAAAAACTAGGCTAGCATAATCATCGGATATTCGACGATCTTGCATTTTGAATTTGGTCTGACAAAATATTCAAGGTTGTTCGGCTTCAGAGTTTGCAAGCTAAAAAGCGTCGATAAGCACTGATTGCTCATTTTAATTAAGTCTGTCCGAACTTTTTTTTGCTACAAATTATACAGTACTGATTTAAATTATCCGGACAAATTGAACAAAACTTGAATTTTCATTCACGTGTTTCTCAAATTGGGTTAAGATTAGACAAAAAGTGAAGAGAACAGAAGTTACTACAAATTTCATCAGAAATAGTAGGGTGCAGTTTTTTCACCGGAATTATTAACCAAAAAATTACCCCAAAAATGGGTCATTTTGGCTTTTTCAATTAATCAAATAAATACACTGAAACTTCTTTGATAATTGATGAAAAAAGTAGCTCCTTACACAGCTCCTCACAAGAAGCTCCTTACACAGCCCAACAAAGTTCTAGGAAAGTTGAATCTCCAAAAACCTGGATAAGGGAAAATATTTTTGCTTGCTAGTCAAGGAAATCGACTTTTACTAAATAAAACCCAAAATTTGTGCTTAAAAGCAAACTTCAAACAATTTGCGCAAACTTTTGGAGATTGAACCCTTGCAGAACTTTGTTGAGCTGTGTAAGAAGCTTCTTGTGACCTAATTTTTTCATCAATTATCAAAGTAGTTTCAGCGTATTTATTGATTAATTAAAAACGCCAAAATGATCCATTTCTGGGGTAAAATTGCTCTAACCAGTAAAATTTTTAACATTATTTAGTATCAATTAATTTTTTTTGACTAATTAGATTAAATTACTTTGCCCTCGAAGTCAATTTCTAAAAACGATATTTAATCCCCCCTAAATCGATTTGGGAGGGGGGTTGTACGGTTGATCTGAACGGCTTGACAATGAAAGAATTTAAATTCAATTTTAGAGATGAACAAATGAAATGACTGGAAGAGCTCCAACTGCAAAAAGAGTATGGTTTACGGCGAATAAGACAACAGCTATTAAGACAACAACCGTTTTCAATTGATGTGACTAAGACTATGCGGCTCATAATTATCTAATTGTTTGTCTGAGAAATATACACCAATCAATTTCGAGCAGTTCATTAAAAGTTTTTAAATGCTATTTGTTGTCTCAATGACATGTCGCCGTAATGTCCCGTCGTCTTTTTAACCTAGCACCGGAGGGAGTGTTCCGAAAATGATCTTTTCGGAACAAGCATTTCGATTTATTCAGCTTTACTAGAGTAGCATTGAAAACTTAAGACTGTCTTCTTTCTTTACATTAACATTTACAATAACTGTTATTTTCAATTAATTATATTAGTGATGCGTACGACTTCGATAGCAGTCGTCACTAAAAAATTAGAATCAACTAAGATCTGGGAACGAAATCATATTCAAACAGCGACTATGCAGGATTTTTTGAGAATTTCTTGTTAGATCAAGTGCTCTTGTCAGCAGACTGTCCATGGAGTGTTAACAACACTGACATATGAAGACAAAAAGAGTTCTCTGCCACTTATGGAGACACTTCGAACCAATCTATAATGAAAATCCAAAGCTGGGAGGAGACACTTGACCTTAACAAGCATCTCATTCGGATTTCAATGAAATTTATTCCTTTCCAACATTAGTTCTGAGGTTGCAGTTCTGCATATATCAGTCCATCATTTCTCAATTCAACTTGAAAATCGTCGTCTTCTATTAGTTGTTGCTGCAGCTGCAATGCCAGCATATCCAGTTCGCCTGGATCCATAGGTGGTCCCGGAGTTGCTTCTCTATCCTGAAGGGGGTCTTCGGGGCCGAGTAGTCCCAAGGCCTGTGGGTTGATGTGGACTTCGATCACTGGTGCTGCTCTATTCACGGGCAGAATTGCTTCAGGGGGACGCTCATGTTGCACAATCGGCTCCTCTACCTTTGAACATTGAACTATCAATTCAACCATGAACATAAATCGCTCACCATTCCATTGAGTTTTTAATCCCGAACTTAGAAAGCGAATTTCCACGAATAAACATAGCCAACAGAAAGTTGGAAAATATTAATGAACGCAAGGAAAGAAAAAAAACTGACTTCTTTTTTGAAAAAACTTCAACTTTCGAATTTCCAAGAAAAAAAATAGATGGCTTTAAAACTCTTTGAAATTCATGAACATTTTATGATTGGTGCTTTTTGATAAAATTAACACAACTTGAGAAATTTGGATCAATAGGTAAATTTATTTATTTCGCTGGGCAATCTGATAATTAAACTTCACTAGCAAGCCCGCCTCCAATAATCAATTGGCTCGCAAAAAAGTGTTTTGATCAAGCTATCCAAGCAATGAAACTTTGAACAATTTCGAGTTGAGCCATATCGTAAATCGGTTTGAAAAACTTCAGGCTTCGTAGAACGAATCTGTTCCCGAACAATTGAAGTGTTTCTAGGCAAGCTATTCAAGCTGAGACTTTGAAATAATTCAAAATGTTTCATGAAACAAATCGGAAGGCGAAATTTCAGTTTTTTATATGAAAAAATTTCAAGCGATGAAACATTGAATTATTTAAAGTTGTTTCATAGAGCGAATAAATTCGCAAAAGAATGAAGTTTTTCTAGGCAAGCTATTAAAGCACGGAAAATTTGAAAAAAATTCACGTTGTTCGATAAAGCGTATCAAATAGCAAAAAGTAAAAACTTTTTTTTAGTGAGCTATTCAAGAGATGAAATATTTCATGTTACTTCACACAGGGAACTGGTTCGCAAAAGATCAAACTATTAGAGCTATGAAACTTGGAATTATTTCAAGGTTTTCATACAATGAATGTTGGCTAATAATATTATGCTTTGAAACATTTTAGAACGAATTGGTTCACAAAAAGCTAATGTTTTCCTTAAGCAAGCTATTCAAGCTATACACCTTTGACACCAACTACAGCGAATCAGATAGCGCAAAAACAAAAATTTATTTTGAAGCCACTGAAAACTAAAGAAACTTTGGTTTTTTGATATTAGTTCATAAACTTTACCGGATAGGAATTATTTCAACTTTTTCTACTGGAGTCAATCACGCGATGGAATTTTTAACTATTTCAAGATATTTGACAGATCAAAGTGATCAGCAAAAAAAACTAAGTTTTAGTATGCTAGCTATTTGGCCTAAGCTTTGATACGCTTCAACTTATCTCTTAGACCGAATCGGTTCACGAAAAGCCTATGTTTTTCTTGAGCAAGCTATTCAAGTTATGAAAGTTTGAATTACTTCAAGTTATTTCTGGACCGAATCAGTTCGCAAAATGTTAAAGTTTATCTAAGCAATAATTAATCCCGAGTTTTTAATCCCGAACTTAGAAAGCGAATTTCCACGAATAAACATAGCCAACAGAAAGTTGGAAAATATTAATGAACGCAAGGAAAGAAAAAAAAACTGACTTCTTTTTTGAAAAAACTTCAACTTTCGAATTTCCAAGAAAAAAAATAGATGGCTTTAAAACTCTTTGAAATTCATGAACATTTTATGATTGGTGCTTTTTGATAAAATTAACACAACTTGAGAAATTTGGATCAATAGGTAAATTTATTTATTTCGCTGGGCAATCTGATAATTAAACTTCACTAGCAAGCCCGCCTCCAATAATCAATTGGCTCGCAAAAAAGTGTTTTGATCAAGCTATCCAAGCAATGAAACTTTAAACAATTTCGAGTTGAGCCATATCGTAAATCGGTTTGAAAAACTTCAGGCTTCGTAGAACGAATCTGTTCCCGAACAATTGAAGTGTTTCTAGGCAAGCTATTCAAGCTGAGACTTTGAAATAATTCAAAATGTTTCATGAAACAAATCGGAAGGCGAAATTTCAGTTTTTTATATGAAAAAATTTCAAGCGATGAAACATTGAATTATTTAAAGTTGTTTCATAGAGCGAATAAATTCGCAAAAGAATGAAGTTTTTCTAGGCAAGCTATTAAAGCATGGAAAATTTGAAAAAAATTCACGTTGTTCGATAAAGCGTATCAAATAGCAAAAAGTAAAAACTTTTTTTTAGTGAGCTATTCAAGAGATGAAATATTTCATGTTACTTCACACAGGGAACTGGTTCGCAAAAGATCAAACTATTAGAGCTATGAAACTTGGAATTATTTCAAGGTTTTCATACAATGAATGTTGGCTAATAATATTATGCTTTGAAACATTTTAGAACGAATTGGTTCACAAAAAGCTAATGTTTTCCTTAAGCAAGCTATTCAAGCTATACACCTTTGACACCAACTACAGCGAATCAGATAGCGCAAAAACAAAAATTTATTTTGAAGCCACTGAAAACTAAAGAAACTTTGGTTTTTTGATATTAGTTCATAAACTTTACCGGATAGGAATTATTTCAACTTTTTCTACTGGAGTCAATCACGCGATGGAATTTTTAACTATTTCAAGATATTTGACAGATCAAAGTGATCAGCAAAAAAAACTAAGTTTTAGTATGCTAGCTATTTGGCCTAAGCTTTGATACGCTTCAACTTATCTCTTAGACCGAATCGGTTCACGAAAAGCCTATGTTTTTCTTGAGCAAGCTATTCAAGTTATGAAAGTTTGAATTACTTCAAGTTATTTCTGGACCGAATCAGTTCGCAAAATGTTAAAGTTTATCTAAGCAATAATTAATCCCGAGTTTTTAATCCCGAACTTAGAAAGCGAATTTCCACGAATAAACATAGCCAACAGAAAGTTGGAAAATATTAATGAACGCAAGGAAAGAAAAAAAAACTGACTTCTTTTTTGAAAAAACTTCAACTTTCGAATTTCCAAGAAAAAAAATAGATGGCTTTAAAACTCTTTGAAATTCATGAACATTTTATGATTGGTGCTTTTTGATAAAATTAACACAACTTGAGAAATTTGGATCAATAGGTAAATTTATTTATTTCGCTGGGCAATCTGATAATTAAACTTCACTAGCAAGCCCGCCTCCAATAATCAATTGGCTCGCAAAAAAGTGTTTTGATCAAGCTATCCAAGCAATGAAACTTTAAACAATTTCGAGTTGAGCCATATCGTAAATCGGTTTGAAAAACTTCAGGCTTCGTAGAACGAATCTGTTCCCGAACAATTGAAGTGTTTCTAGGCAAGCTATTCAAGCTGAGACTTTGAAATAATTCAAAATGTTTCATGAAACAAATCGGAAGGCGAAATTTCAGTTTTTTATATGAAAAAATTTCAAGCGATGAAACATTGAATTATTTAAAGTTGTTTCATAGAGCGAATAAATTCGCAAAAGAATGAAGTTTTTCTAGGCAAGCTATTAAAGCACGGAAAATTTGAAAAAAATTCACGTTGTTCGATAAAGCGTATCAAATGGCAAAAAGTAAAAACTTTTTTTTAGTGAGCTATTCAAGAGATGAAATATTTCATGTTACTTCACACAGGGAACTGGTTCGCAAAAGATCAAACTATTAGAGCTATGAAACTTGGAATTATTTCAAGGTTTTCATACAATGAATGTTGGCTAATAATATTATGCTTTGAAACATTTTAGAAAGAATTGGTTCACAAAAAGCTAATGTTTTCCTTAAGCAAGCTATTCAAGCTATACACCTTTGACACCAACTACAGCGAATCAGATAGCGCAAAAACAAAAATTTATTTTGAAGCCACTGAAAACTAAAGAAACTTTGGTTTTTTGATATTAGTTCATAAACTTTACCGGATAGGAATTATTTCAACTTTTTCTACTGGAGTCAATCACGCGATGGAATTTTTAACTATTTCAAGATATTTGACAGATCAAAGTGATCAGCAAAAAAAAACTAAGTTTTAGTATGCTAGCTATTTGGCCTAAGCTTTGATACGCTTCAACTTATCTCTTAGACCGAATCGGTTCACGAAAAGCCTATGTTTTTCTTGAGCAAGCTATTCAAGTTATGAAAGTTTGAATTACTTCAAGTTATTTCTGGACCGAATCAGTTCGCAAAATGTTAAAGTTTATCTAAGCAATAATTTCAAGTCAGGAAACTTTGAAATATTTCATATCGCTTATTGGATCATATTTTTAATTGAGCAAGGAAACATTTTTAAAATTTAAGACCGGTGCATGAAGCCAATCTCGTGGCAACAAATTTAAGTATTTCTAAGCAAGCTAGTTAAGTTATGAAACTTCAAAATATTTCAAGTTATTTCATGAAGTTGAAATAGAAAAATAAGCTAGCAAACGAGATAGCGATCTTACAGTCTTCTAAGCAGGCTATTCAAGCTATGTGACTTAGAATTTTCCAAAATATTTGGTTGATCGAATCGATTTGCAAAAAAAAAATTAGAATTTTTCTTAGCAAGCTTTTTAGGTGAAAAATTCAAAATAATTCAAGTTAGTTTGAATCCCGAATCAGTTTCCGAAAAGCTTAAAATTTTCTAAACAAGCATTTCAAGCTATGAAACTTCGAATTTTTTCTAATCAAGCTTTTAAAGCTATGAAATGTTGATTTATTTCAAGTTAATTCATAAACCGAATCAGTTTGCGAAAAGCTTTAAGCTTTTCGACGCAAGTTAGTCAAGCAATAAAACTTTGAAATATTTCAAGTTATTTTGCTGACCAAGTCGGTTCACGAAAAGTTGAGTTTTTCTTAGCAACCTTTTAGAGCTATTAAACTTTGAACTATTTCAAGTTAATTTATAGACTAAATCGGCTCAGGAAAAGCTGAAAATTTTCGAAGCAAGCTTTTAAAGCTATGAAATTTTGATTTATTTCAAGTTAATTCATTAATTCATAAACGGAATCAATTTGCGAAAAGCTTTAAATTTTTCGACGCAAGCTAGTCAAGCTATAAAACTTTGAAATATTTCAAGTTATTTTGCTGACCAAGTCGGTTCACGAAAAGTTAAGTTTTTCTTTGCAACCTTTTAGAGCTATGAAACTTTGAACTATTTCAAGTTAATTTATAGACTGAATCGGCTCAGGAAAAGCTGAAATTTTTCTAAGCAAGCTTTTAAAGCTATGAAGTTTGGAATTATTTCAGGTTCTTTCATAGACCGAATCGTTTTGCGAAAAACTTCAGCTTATCTAAGCGAGCTATTTCAAGTTATTTCAAGGGGCAAATCGGTTTGGGAAAAGCTTAAGTTTTTCTAAGCAAGCTATTCAGGCAATGAAACTTTGATTTATCTAAAATTTTCATAGAGCAAATCGATTGGCGAAAAGTTTATGTTTTTTTAAACGCTGCATTCGGCAAAGCTAAAACATTGCATTCAGCTAAACATTGCGTCCATCGTGCAATCGGAGTAACATTTAATATATAAGACTATCGAAATTAAAAGTCGATCACATTTTTCGTGACCTTAACATTTTAGCTGCTCGATAGTGGACTTTTCCTTCCTTTTAACAAAGGAAATGAACTGAACTTAAAGAATTCAATAGTCAAACCGCGAAAAATCAAATTTGAGTAAGAACTTTTTCTGAACAAAAAAATCACGAAGACGTATATAAGAGTTTTCACTTTAATCACTATTCTTAAAGAATCATAATGATAATGAATTACCGCTGAACATGATCTCTCTGGCTGAAAGACATGATCATCACTACCAATAAAGCATTACCAATGGGAACATATTTTTTCTGATCTTACATAAATTTATTCCTCGGCCCTCTTTTTGACGATAGAAGCAAAAATATTAACCGCTTCAAATGCTGCCATTCTCTCTGCTTCTGACATTCCATCATACAGCTTCTGATAACAAGCTGACCTCTCGGCGGAAAAGTGAGCATAGGGATTTGCTTTTTTCAGTTTGGTGTTACATAACCAACACCAGTGACATCCACACCTCGCACACCACATTTTGTTACACCCTTTCGTTTTCTGGGTTCCTATGTGACAAGACGGGCAGGCCTTGGAGTTATTGGACACCCACTCAATGGAACGACTCTCGTGCACGTAGTTGAGCAGCTGCTGCTTCCCATACTTGAGCTCTAGCTCTCGTTTTGTCCTCACATCACCCTTCTCGTAAGCGTCTCGAATTTTGGCCACGCGTTCATTTCGGTGGGTACATATTTCAACCCCATGGAATGAACGAAGGCACATTTTACAGAAGGAAAATGAGCACTGAAACAATATATTAGATCAAATAGTTTGAAGTCGATGCAAACTTAGTATTTCATTTTGGCGGTTTTAGTGTTCAATTAGCTTTATGGAACATAAATGGTTAACGTTGTCAAGAAGAGATCACTATTATTAATTCTGTATGATAATTTTGAAACTAATTCTTATATCTTCAGTGACATTTGATTGGTTGTTGGTAAATGAAATCTAACTTAAACGCATTGCTGTTTTTGTTACCTTATGACACACCGCGAGATTGGAGTCCTGTTCTCCTATCACAGGCGTCTCACAGTTGATTCGGGGACAGGTTACTACATCGTGCATACTCTCCAAGGCCACTTTCAACTGCTGATTCTCGTAACTAACGCAACAAAGCAACTTAAATTAGGCAGCTTCAATAAGAGTCTTACACTGAGAAAAAGCCCCAGCTTAAGTAACTCCCGATGAAGTCATCCTAAATAAAGAAATAATTACAGGCAAACTCATCTCAGGCAATCTTCCAAACTAAAGGGAATATAGTTAAAGCCAAACTTTTGGCAATATCGGTGAACTTGAGCTAGTTATTTGGTCACAGAACGGTGCTATTGTATAGCTTTTAAATGTATCGGAAAACGTATTAAATTTTTAAAATAATTATGACCTTCAAATTTAAACTAAATCAGAACAATTCTATGCAGTTTCGTGTTTGCCTTTTTGTCGGCGTTTTATGTGTTTTTTTTTCGCTCTAAAAAGTTACATGGAAAATCGTTGTTGAATAAAAAAGTTTTCGTTAATTGTTCTCTTGAAATTAGGCAAAAATGAAACTCTCCGAAAAAGCGCAAAGATTATGCTTTGCTCTTTTGATAGTTAAATGCAATTTTGAAAATTCGGCTGCAGTTTTAACGCCCTTTCGCCCTTTCACTGTCTCAAGGTCAGAATTATTTCAAAATTTTAAGATGTTGTCCGATAAACTTAACAAAATCTATATAATTAGTAGCAAAAAGTTCGGACAGACAAAAATAATTAAAAAGAGCAAATTACCTTTTTCAGACAATTTTTGCATGCAAAAGCTAAATTTTCAGACAGAAAGTATGTCTCAATGTCACCTAAAAATTCAACTCTGCATGCAAAAATTGCTCAAAATTGGCAGATTGCTCTTTTTAATTATTTCTGTCTGTCCGAACTTTTTGCAACTCTCTATATTTTTTTCATAGTTAATGCCAAATTGTTGGCAATATCCTTTTCGGTCAACGAACCTGATCGAAGTTAATCAACCTAAAACTGCTCATTTCAACGTCGGATTTTAGTTTTTCACTGATTTCCACACGTAAAAACCATTTCCAAAAAAGACTGATTAACCAGCAATGCTAGTTTTTGACCGATTAATTGCTCAAGGTTACCTACATGTTTAATTAGTAGCAAAAAGTTCGGACAGACAAAATTAATTAAAAAGAGCAATTGACATATTTTGGAAAATTTTGCATGCAAAATCTAATTTTTCAGTCCGATTTTGTGTCTCAAGGTTGTATGAAAAAAGAAATTGCGTGCAAAAATCTGTCAAAATGGTACGATTGCTCTTTTTAATTAATTCTATCTGTCCGAACTTTTTGCAACTCTCTATATAATGCCAACAATTTGGCGTTTATAACTTTTAACAATTTTTATAGAGAGTTGCAAAAAATTCGGACAGACAGAATTAATTAAAAAGAACAACTGTCTAGGCATCAACGGAAAATAAAACTGAAATAAACATAACGTCGAAACTCTGAAATAAAGCAGAGTTTCGCTCAAGACCTTTAACATCGGCGGCCAATTGCATCCGAAGCGTCGAATAAAAACCTTGAAACAGGAAAACTATTGCTCAGGGTGGCTAATGTTTTTCTGCGATTAGTTTCCAAATTTTGAATAATATGATCATCTTAACTTTCGTTTAATTTTTGTTGCGCGGCCTGATCTGTTTTTTTTTGCTGTTGAAAATAACTCTAGATTTCAATTTTTTCAACTAATTTTGCTAACTGTTTTATAGTAAAATCTGGAAGATCATCGCAGTATTTAAAAACTAGGCTAGCATAATCATCGGATATTCGACGATCTTGCATTTTGAATTTGGTCTGACAAAATATTCAAGGTTGTTCGGCTTCAGAGTTTGCAAGCTAAAAAGCGTCGATAAGCACTGATTGCTCATTTTAATTAAGTCTGTCCGAACTTTTTTTTGCTACAAATTATACAGTACTGATTTAAATTATCCGGACAAATTGAACAAAACTTGAATTTTCATTCACGTGTTTCTCAAATTGGGTTAAGATTAGACAAAAAGTGAAGAGAACAGAAGTTACTACAAATTTCATCAGAAATAGTAGGGTGCAGTTTTTTCACCGGAATTATTAACCAAAAAATTACCCCAAAAATGGGTCATTTTGGCTTTTTCAATTAATCAAATAAATACACTGAAACTTCTTTGATAATTGATGAAAAAAGTAGCTCCTTACACAGCTCCTCACAAGAAGCTCCTTACACAGCCCAACAAAGTTCTAGGAAAGTTGAATCTCCAAAAACCTGGATAAGGGAAAATATTTTTGCTTGCTAGTCAAGGAAATCGACTTTTACTAAATAAAACCCAAAATTTGTGCTTAAAAGCAAACTTCAAACAATTTGCGCAAACTTTTGGAGATTGAACCCTTGCAGAACTTTGTTGAGCTGTGTAAGAAGCTTCTTGTGACCTAATTTTTTCATCAATTATCAAAGTAGTTTCAGCGTATTTATTGATTAATTAAAAACGCCAAAATGATCCATTTCTGGGGTAAAATTTTGGTTGAGAATTTCGGAGAAAAATTGCACTATGTTAATTCTGATGAATCTTTAAGCAACTTTTGTTCTCTTCACTTTTTGTCTAATCTTAACACAATTTGAGAAAAACGCGTTTGAAATTCAAGTTTTGTTCATTTTGTCCGGATAATTTAAATCAGCGCTGTATCGGACAACATCTTAGATTTCTGAAATAATTCTGACCTTGAGACATAGAAATAGACATGTGAAATAGAGTTGTAAGCACAACCGATTTTTCAAATCTTCATTTGAACTATCAAAAAAGCAAACCAAATTGCTTGCGCTTTTGCAGAGGTCAGTTTTTGAATATAGAGTTGCTAAAAGTTGGAACCGAAAAAAATTAATTAACAAGAGCAAATTACCTATTTCAGTAAACTTCTGCATGCAAAAACTATTTTTACAGACAGATAGGATGTCTCTAGTTCACATAATATTTCGAATATGCGCGCGGAAGCTGTTCCAAGTAGGTAGATTGCTCTTTTAATCATTTCATTTCTGTCTGTTCAATTTTTTGCCACTAATTATATAACTTCAAACCCTCGCCTTTAAAATGTTTTTCATTCAGCAGGAATCTGACATGCAATTTTTCAATAGAAAAGATTGCATAAAACGCCGACAAAAGGCAAACGCAAAATTGCATCAAAGTTTCTCATAAGTTTCAGTTTGAAGGTCAGAAATCTTTCAAGAGTTTTGCTGATTAAAATTATCCGGATAAGACAAACAAACATTGAAATTTCAAATGCGTTTTTCTCAAATTGAGTCGCGATTAAACAAAAAATGAGAACAAAGAATTTGCGTAGAACTATAATGATTTAGTGCACTTAGTTTTCAAAAATTCTCAATCAAAACTATATCCCAAAATAAGGCACACTACGGCTTTTTATTAATCAAAAACCACGATGAAGCTACCAAAATAAGCTACCGAAAAATCAAGAATGAGTGTGAACTTTTTCTGAAAAAAAACAAACCAAAAGAATATCACAACGAGAGCCTTCACAACGTTCATTGACTCCTAAAAAGAAATGAAATGCCACGACAAAAATTACTTTTGAAAAGTTAATATTTTTTCCAATTCCAATTCCAGTTCTAGATTCAGTAGCCCTGCATTAGGAAACCTAATTAGATGTTTAAAATACTATCATGAAAGCTTAGGTTGAAGATGACACAAAATTCAGTCATACTGTGAAGAAAGTTATTTGGATTCATACAATTTGCAGAAAGTTGCACAAATCTATTTGCTTGGTCACACCGACATGTACTTGGTCTATTTGCTCGGTCACAATTTAGCAGCAAAAGATTTATAATAACAATAAGTCAACTAGAAAAAAGCCGACCAATGGTAACATGGCTATCCTACAGTTGGAAAAGCGTAAATGAACTCAATGAAACTGAAACCAAAAACCATTTTTTTATGAACTTTTTCAAATTCAAACCATGAATAGCCTTTTGAGATATGCCTGGGCCAATATGTGATTTTAAAACTCCGCTAGCAATTAAACGAATTAGGAATCCACTCTGTGATTTAAAAAAACAAGCTGCACTTTTTGCGCTATACCCACTTTCTTTTTGGAAGAGAGTTAATTGAGCTTCATTTGAAAATTGTAGTTTGAAACAAGGAAAAGTCGAAACAAGACAATAGAAAACTGTGCATGAGAGAAAAACTGTGCACGCCCTATATTAACTCTTAAAAAACCTTTATCAAAGCAAATCTTAGCGTGTAGAGCAATTTGAACTTAAGTTCTGAAACTTTGCTTCATGGTTATGGTTACTAAACAATCACTAATACTTCAGCATGCAGAGATTACTTTTTCTTAAGCAATATTTAGGTTCAGACTGTCGCACTTAATATGTATAATTTAATTGCGACCCCAAATAGTAACACCGCGGCGAAGCTTCATTTTGCCACCACAAGTGAAAAAACGTCAAATAATAAGGACAAATACCAGTGGCTGTGTAATTGACTGAGTTCTTTTCAAAGATAACACAGATGCAAAGCTGCACTTCGCAAACGAGAAAATGGCAAAACAAAGCTCGGTCCAAGTGAAAAATCTCCCCCCTCTAGACCAAGTGAACAATCTTCCCCCTAAAATGAAATGGCAACTTCAAGCAGTAAGGCCTGCATGTACTAAGCTCAAATCTGATAGGCTGAAAAATATTACTTTTAACCAAGTGAACTATCTCCTCACTAAAATGATTTAATGGAGAGATTGTTTACTTGGCCCCATAAGTCTATAACGCAAAGATTAAAATAGGAAAAACGCAAAAAAAAAAACTTCAAAAATAAAAAATTTGCAGTGCCAGAATCAAAGCATCAAACTAGTGATTAAGAGTCTCGCATCCTTGGATCTACGTCTTGGCCGCTTGAAAACATGCAGAAATTAGCCACGAATAAAGAAGAATTTGGAAAAATAATGAGAAAAGAGCGTAGTGTTATATTACGAATACATTTCTTTCACTTGGTGGCACTTTTGCTGCATAGCTTTGGCAATTTATTAACATTTGTTTTCCCGCCTTTATTCGTGGCTAATTTCTGCATAAATTGTCAAAGCTATGCAGGAAAAGTGCCACCAAGTGAAAAAAATGTATTCGTAATATAGCACTATGCTCTTTTCTCATTATTTTTCCAAATTCTTCTTTTTTTAGTTTTCACAACTCTTAGTGCTGAAGCAAACTAATTGTGAAGGTTTTTGCGTTTTTCGCTCCAAAATATACAAATCAGCCAAACTTCAAACCTATTTTCCAGACTAAAAATTTCTATTTTCCATTTTATCTTTAGTTCTTTTCTCTATATCTAATTCCTCACATTTCGAAGATTTTTGTTGGCGTACAACTTACATCTGAAATAACTCATCTGACAGTATTGACTTCAACTGGCTCTGAGATGGCTGCGACTCACAATCAGAGGCCAAGCACTCTAGTCTGGAGATGTTTCCGTCCTGAACAACACATATAATTGAGTTCTGATCTTTATAAGTAATATATAAATCATAATAAATTCGTCTCCGATTGTTAAGTACAAAACAAAATTTATCTTTATGTATTAACACTTATTCACTTGAGAGAACATCAAAGGTCATTCTCTGACATCAATGGACAGGCTTCTCATTTAACAATATTCTGTCACTTTTTTCAGAAACATAAGCATAGCCAACATGCCGTCGAAAAAGAATCGACGAACGCAAGGAAACAAAAAAATATGACTTGTTTTATGAAAAAACTTCCACGTTTCGAACTTCAAAGATAGAAACACATAGCCTTAAAGCTCTTTGCAGTTTAAGAACAATTCATGATTGACACTTTTTTTGATACAACTAACTCAATTTGAGACACAGAGGCGAAGCTAATAACTCATTTTGAGACACAGAGACAAAAATACAAAAGCGCAACAAGATAGAAAATGGAAAGAGAGAATTGTCATAAAACTATTGTCATAAAAGATTTCACGAAATTTTAAAATTTTTCAACGACCCATCCAAACCGAAACACATAATCCTATAAGAATATATTTTCCCTCGAAATTACGCAATATAAGTTGACTAAGCCGAAATAACAAATTGTTTAAATATTAAACAAAAACATGCAAAAAATGTGTTTTTTAAAATGACCCAAAATCAAGCTTCGTAAAAATACAAAAACTGAACTTTCTGTTATTCTTAATAATGATTTAAATTGGAACAAAACCCATGCTGTAGAAATTTTTGAAGAATTAATTACAACCTTAAACAAATGGTCTTTAACTCATTACTACTTAAATGATAATAGTTTGATTGAAATTTCGAGAAAACGAGTATGCCAGAAGTGAGTTATTTACTATTCTTACTAAAATGACTATTCTGTGAACAAAATTATTTACGGGAAAAATGTAGTATTGGATCGCAATATTCTTGCTTATCGCAAAGGCAAAAAGTGGATCAATAGGTAAAACTTTTATTCCGCTGGCAAATCTGAAAATTTTAATTCACTTTCCAAATTAGAAGGCAATCACTTTTTTCGTGACCTTGACACTTTTGATGTTCGAGTGGAGTTTGCCTTCTTTTTAACAAAAGAAATGAACTGAACTTAAAAAAGAAATCAAAAGTCAAACCGTGAAAACTCAAAACTGAGCGAGAACAAAGTTTGACACTTTTTCCTGAAAAAAAAACAAACAAATTACCAAGATTTATATAAGAGTGTTCACTACGTTCATTACGTACGAAAAAAAAATAAAGAAAACTAAAACAAATCGCAGTTGGTAAACTTACTACAAAAACAACAAGCAAATTTAGAATAAAACAAGAATTTAAAATGTCTCTTGGTTGACAAAAGTAACAGCTTTGGAGATGAGCACTAGGTCATCCTGTCAAGTAAGCTACTGAGGATAAAAATTATAACAGTCGGTTACAACATCTTTGCTTATCGCAAGGGTAAAAATTTTCCAATTTTTCCATCATTTAACTAGCTTGCAAACTAGCTTTTAACTAGCGTGAATAAAAAAATCTAACCGTAAGAAAAAATGAGGCATCTAACAACATTTCTCGTCACATAAATCAAGCGATAGAAAACAAAGTCGAACTTTAAAGTTCTTTAAACAAAAAACTTCATAATAATTGGCTTCAGATCTTCGTACTTTTAACTCAGAAACAAAACTCTAAAATATTAGACAGCATGCAACTGCACTTTCCATATTTGAAAATTTTTTAAAACTTTCATTTGCAACATAATTAATTTCATTTAAAAATTCTTGTTTTAACTTCAATCGTTTAATCCAGTGAAATTAATTCACAAACATCAGACTCTTTTTGTTAGTTTAATTCTTATTTAAATGAAAATTTGAGAAATAAAAATCGTCACATCTCCAAAACTTAAAAAAATTGAGCAGTCATGATTAGAGGCCATATGTGCAACGCCTGGAGTGCATCACGTCTTTAACTTTTGGAAAAAAAACGTTGCATTTCCAAAACAGAGGGTTTGAGCAGTCATATTTGAAAGCCTCATCTGCACACCCTGGGAGTAAAATGACATCAACCCGTCATAGAATCGAGAACTAGAAATTTCGAGCAGTAATTTTTAAAACTAAGTTGATCAAAAAAAATTCAAAATACCCTTAAAAACGTCAATTACGGAAAAACGTGAAAAGTACCCTGAAAAACGTGCAAATTTTGAGCAATCATACTAGAATGATGTCTACATCTGCTGAAAATTATACATAAGCAATACAACAAAAGCATACCATTTCAAGTTACTAAATGGTCAGTGAGATGGAAACAACTAAGTGAAAAACCTGAAATACGAAAAATTCAGTCACAGAAAAACAGAAGAGAAACACGACCACTAGCATTAAGCAAGCTTTTAGTATTTTTCGAGCATCCACTAAGCCAACAACAAGCGGTTAGACTCAGACGAATATGAATTTAAAAAAGCACAGTTGTATTGCCACGTGCCATTATTTGCACTCTTTGGAGTGTTTTTGGCGCGCGCACACTACTTCAAAATGATTATATATTATAAAAGCACCTTTAAAAAATTTCAGGGTCAGCAGCCGAAGTTGGATGTCTTAAAATAGTACTAAAGGGGTACACTCTGGGTGGTCAGGAGATTGAATCGTCTTTACCCGCCTCCCCCCCTCCAAAAAAAATCATTTACTGACCACAGTCTACCCTTTTCTTGCACACTTATTTATATAAGCGCGCTTTACCAATTCAAAAAAAGCGCAAAAATTGTTAGTGAAAACGGATTAAAAATTTTTGTTTTCAAACTTTTCTAAAATCATAAATTCATGTCTTAAGATATGCGGCTTCATGCATTATTTCAAGGCAACTGAGACGAAAATTTGAAAACATCATAGCATTCTTGGCTTAGAAAATCAAGAAAATGCAACTCAATTAACTGGACTATTACAGAAATCAATCAAAACGTAATCCATTTTTAGTAAAAACTCATTGAATTAGAAAAACAATTTAGGCTGTTGAAACAGAGTCAAACACTAAACATTCAAATCACAAATTATAATCCGCCAAATAAGTTTTTCCCAGCAGAAAATTTTCTTCAACTTAGAAAAAGTGCAGCTCCAGGACTACTCGAAAATATGGCGTTTGTCGTCGTAACCATGCGCGTTACTTCGCCGTAAAGCAGAAACAACTTAGAAACATTCGATCCATATGCTGATAAATTAGAAGCTGTCGATTCACATGCAAACTTATTAACGGAAAGAAGTTGTTCTCGGAAAAAAATAAAAGTCGATTTTCGGTTGCAATACCTTCGGAGTTACTAAAGTTAAATGATTTTTTGCAATTAGCGCTGTTATTGAAACAACTGCGTGCAAGCAGCTTCGGGCTGCTAATTGTTTTATGCACATATTGGATCAATTGAATGTGGGAAGAGGGGGTGGAGATAGCTCAATGGTTTCTTGAGGCATGTTTATAACCACATGAAAATGAAAATAGTTCGAATGATACCAAATCATGCACCAAATTCTCCAACGGAACACCAAGAGTCACAAAAATGAGTTTTCCAGTTTGAATTCAGTGTTCATTTCACCAAATTTGCTTAGAGCAACTCAATAGTGGTTCCCCAGGCTTGCAAATTTGGCCTCCAATTTTGAACACCCAAATCCTTTTAGTTTACGAGATACAACTTTTGAGATGTTTCATGAAAAAAAAATTCCGAAAACACCAGATTAAAATTTATCACAAAATTTGAAATTCCCAGCCTGTAGTTGGGCACTGTCAAAATACTCTCAGGGGTTACAAATACAACAGCTCAAATCTTTTAAGTTTCCCAGATATGACTTTTTTATGATTTTTTTCCAAAATTTTCAAAGAATTTAGATATAAAAGCTTGACAAAGGTTGAAATTCTCAACCTGGAGTTGGGCGCTGTCAGAGTTTGCTCAGGGGTTACAAATTTTGCATTCAAATATGACTGCTCCATTTTTTAGTCTCCAATATATGATGTTTTTTGTTTTTAATTCGAAACTTTTTTTTTTGAAAAAACTACAGTTCCCAGCCCGCTAGTTGGGTGCTGCCAGGGTACTATCAGGGTTTGAAAATCTTCCCTCCAAATTTGATTGCCCAAATCTTCTGAGTTTTCTCGACATCTTTTATGCATTTTTCAAAATATTTCAGAAAACTTGGATCTCTTTCTTTGCTCCCGTTTGCAAAGCGTACTGGAAATATTATTATAGTACCTACAATACGCTCAAACTTAGAGTACAGAACTGCAAAGCTTATAAAAAAACTGTCTGCCAGTGTTGATTTTCTTCAGCTGATGGGACTTAAAGGAATAGTTTTGTCACACCTATGCGACTCATTTGGAAGATTTTAACGCGAGGTACAAGAAACCGCTTTTAGCTGTAAATTTACGATAATAATAACCATAATCATAACAAAAAAAATAATATATTGAGGTAGGGTAAAAAATAATCTGCTGGTAGGGTAAAAAACAATATAGTGAGGCGCTGGCAGGGTAATCATCAGAGGAGTTGCAATCTTGTCTCCAAATATGACTGCTTAATTCTTATAGATTCCAATATATAACATTGATTTTTAAAATTTTTGGAAAAAATGCAATACCTAACCCTGTACTTGGGTGCTGTCAAGTTACTCTCATGAGTTGCAAATCTTGTCTCCAAATATGGATTGCAAATGTGACTGCTCAAATGCTTTTGGTTTCCAAGCAAACTTTCATTAGTGTTAAATTTCAAAACAAAAACTTTTCAAAATTTTTAATTGTCCACCCTTTGATTGGGTAATGTCAGGTTACTACCAGCGGATGCATATTTGGCCTCCCATTTCATACTTTCGAGTGTGACTTTGTTGCGATATGTCGAATTTTTTTATTTAAACTTACAATTAATTTAAGAAAAATGAGTCTGATAGTTTAAAATTAATTATGCTCGATTATGAATTCCATTTATGATTTTAATGATTTTGCAAATTAAATTGTTTCAAATTTTTTTTGAAATGTAATGTGCAGTTCTATCCTGTCGTCCATTTTGGGGCTCCGTTCATGAAATAAAAGTATGAAGATCTGAAACCCAGTAGTTTTGAAGAGTTGACCATTTTAGTTTTAAAAACCTGCAAACGTTGAAATTATTTTATCGTTCAAATTTTGAAATCAAAAGTGTTGTTTGAAACCCATGTCTATTGTTATAGTTGCATTCATTTCGTTGAATTTTGATACATTTTTTATAAGCAATTTCACCTTTACTAATCTGTTTGAAGCACCGGAGGTGCGTTACACGTTAGTTATGTTTGATTCCTATGACTTCATTCTGACTAATATCTTAAGCAATCGTTTTCTCAATGTTTTCTCAATCGGGTTTCATCGCATGTTTATAGAAACTCAAGAACTCTCAAAACATGAAATATTTGTTCGTGTTTGCCTGAACTAAACCATTGATGCTTTTGCCTGTACAACCGGAAATTGTAATGTCTGCAAAAAATAAATATCTATCAGATCTCTTTAAATTTTCTTCAAATCCATTCAAATGGTACCAACATTAAATTAAATACAATGTTGGACAAGCTTGGATCAGTTATTGGCAGCCAACAAGCCTACGACAAGTTCGGTTACATGTCAGTATTTAGACAGCCGCGTATTCATACTGGTCAGTATTTAGACAAATACTGTTTCAACCAATCAGAATCGAGACAAAGAAGAAATTAATAAATAATTATTATTTATTTTGGATTATTTATGTTTTTTTCTCGATTCTGATTGGTTCATACAGTATTTGTCTAAATACTGACCAGTATGAATACGCGGCTGTCTAAATACTGGCTGCACTCCGACAAGTTCGTAGAACACGAAATAGAGAAAAGGAACAACTAACAACAGAAAATCAAATATTGCAAAAATATCACTGTCAAATGCCTACTGCGTTACTTGAGCTGAGAGTAAGAGTTCACAATCAATTAAGTGTCCAGACTAGAACAACTCCTGATGCCCATGTCAAAATGAATGCAAATCAAAGGACAATCCTTCATACCACACTAGCCGAAAAAGACACAAAATGCTACATATCAAAGAAAAACAAAAATTACCCACAGCAAGAAAACATTTAAAATGATAAGACTAAATTGGAGAGAAGCCTAGCAATACATTTGCTACTTAAAAGGGAAACTGATTGAACCTGCTCCCCGTGGCCAAAAACAATTGCTTTAAAAAAATCAATAGCAGGGATTGACTCAATTTACGCTACGGACAAAAACCACCAAACATCTCGCACACCTGCCAAAATCTCGCAAACCATTCACTGTCTCAAATGTGAATATACACACCTTCGACATGACGAAATTCGGGAAGCGTTTGAAAATATTTTCAAGGAAGTCTGGTACGATGCCGAAACAGAGCCAGAACTTCAACCGTTGGAGGTGAATGCATTCACAACATGAAGACTTCAACTGAAGATGAAGTTATACTTGATATCAAAGCAAATGCCCTCTTGAGGAGGAAGGTTGGTTCAGCACCTTCTGGTGTTAAAATCTTCAACCCACTTTCGAAGTCATGCCTAAAAGCCATCGCAGACGCCTAAAAATACCACTAAGCATATAACACAGGCAAGAGCATACAGGCAAGCTCTTCTGTGCCTGTAATTAGTGCCAGCATGCAAAGAGAGGCGCCAGCCTCATAAAGAACAAAAAATGAAACAAAAACTCAACGAAAAAAGGCATGAAACCAAAGGAGAGCAATTCTCTGCACCCGGAGATGCAATACCTTGACAAATTGCATAGCTGCAATTCGCAAGATAAACGGCAAAAAACGGCTCTAAAAAGATATACCTAGCCAATACACTGAAGGAAAAGAGTCAACGAACGCATGGAAACAAAACAAGTTTTTTTAAATTCAAATTTTAAAAATGTATAGCTTGATAACTCATAGAACTTCAAGAACAACTTTGAGCTGACCGGATCAATTTTTACTCCGCTGGGAAATCTGGAAAAAAATCCACTTTCGAGACTAGTAGTCGATAAAGTTTTTCGGGCCGCCCTTTGAGCTTTTGCTGTTTGATAGTGGAGCTTGCTTTCTTTTACGAAATGAGCTGAACTTCAAAAGAAATCAAAACACAAACCGCGAAGTAATTTAGAGCCTGAACAAATTTTATAATCACCAAGAGCTAGATAAGATCTTCACTACGTTCAACGAATGGAACACCGACCTGTAGATGAGGAGTCTCATGTCCCCGCATCTGCAGCACGGTCGCTTCACTTTAGGCAAACTTAGCCATAAAGCAGAGAACAGATATTTATTTGGCATTGATACGGCCCTATCTAACCTGTACACAGACCGTCGCATGACATAATATAGCTTTTAACAAATTTATCGGACAACGTATTAAACTTCTGAAATAATTCTGACCTTCAAATTCAAACTAAATCAAATTACTTCTTTGAAAACTCTTGTTTGCCTTTTTATCGGCGTTTTATGAGTTTTTTTCTCTGAAAAATGACTTGTTAAATCGTTGATGAATGAAAAACTTATTGTGCTCTGAAAATAAGGCAAAAATGAATTTCTTGGAATCATTTTTTCTGCCCTTTTGACAGTTAAAATGCAGTTCTAACGCCACTTTACTGTCTCAATGCCATAATTATTTGAAAACATTAAGACGTCTCCGATAAATTTGTTAAAAGCTATAACCTTTCAATTAACCTTTTGTAGGAGATAAAAAGCAAACGATTGAGTAGTCATATTTCAGTAATGAAACCCTTCCAGCTGAATGTAGCATCACTTGATAGGGTTTTTATCGGAAATAAATCTGACCTTGATGCTGACGGTGAAGTAGTTCTGGGTACAGGATTGACAGAAAACATGCTCGCATGGAGCAAATTGAAAACACACTCTGCCCGACTGTGTTTCACCGCATACCTCACACTCGTGCTCATCTGCAAACAAAGATAGAACTGAACTGTTCACTATCAGAGAGAACTTGTGAAATAAGACAAAGCGCCACTCATTCGTATAGGACACAGAAACGAATTCGATAAACTGCAAAAGAACAGTTGTATTTGTTTACTTGTGTTTTCATCAAAAAAAATCTGATCCATGAAAAGCAACTTTGATAATAAAAACTACCATACCAGTACCAAGCATATACACTGACTTTTCATAAACTCTTCAGCTAGTTTGTCCTCGTTGTAATTGATAAGGTGGTCAAAGAGATTTTGGGAATCAATAAAGTCACAGGTATCACACTCAGGTTCGTTGCTACTTGATATACATAAATCGCAGCTTATGTTTGTAATTTTTAATTCTGAGACTAGTTCCTGTAGAAATTGGATCCATGTAAACAAAATTTCTGATTGCATCCCATTCCACAGACATTTCAATTGTCCATCGACAGTCTCGATTTGCTTTTTACTCAACCAATCACATTTTAGGTTGAAATTGGGACATTCAACATGCTCAGGATAGAAAGGTCCAAGAACCACAATTAGTTTTATATGCGGAAGAAACTTGACATCTCTTGTATGATAGGTTCGATCTTGTGAATCAACTGATGTTTTCTGAATGGAAATCGATCCGTCAAAGACTGGTACAATCGTTATACATATTTTGTAATTTATTTCATATTCTTCATTCAGTCGACTCACAGTTTCGGGCCCGTATATTTCGCTAAGCGCTAGCACTTCGTCTTCTCGTCTAGTGGAAACCATCTCAACCTCTGAAAATACTTTTAAGGTACACTTGTAATTCAAATATGACTATCACTACTTTCAAATGGGTGCCGGAAATCACGCCGACGTGACTTCAAGCCGAATTGTAAAAGTGGTGACTTCAAGCCGAAACTTTTCTCAATTCCATGATCTTTCTTCAGTAGTTATTGGCGTTTTCATAGAATTTAAGCCTCCAAATGATGTTTAGGAAAGTTGAAAAATAAAACACGGTTGAAAAATAAGACCATCGACGATTTCAAGTGGAAACTGGACAAACATTGGAAAGCGATTTGAATTGACATGTACGAAATTGTACGGAGATAGGAAAGAACACTGCCTAATGGTCATAAAAAACGTGAATGACTTGAAAGCAATTTAATTGTTGTAACAGTCGCCTACTTATAACAAATATGAGGGTAAGAGAAATAGGCCCTATAACCATTGGCTCAAGGGTCAGGAACACTAACTCTTGTGTTTTTCTACCTCAAACAGTCGGAGCCAATTCTGTGACATTCGACCAGAATGTGAAAAATGCAATCTCTGCAGAATTCGAATTTTTAGCAGCGAGCCTTTCGGATTGATGATTATTAAGAATTAAGAACGTTATTGGAACGATTGGCCAAACGGTGAGGGCTAGAATATTCTGGTGTTTTAAAATTTCAAAATTCGAAGTGATGACGTAACATTTCTGAGAAACGTCAGAAGCGGCCATTTTGGCAAAGAAGTAAAAGAAAAACAGAACAACATTAGCTGCGCTTACAACAACTACGAAATAGAGATTGGAAAACGACAACGAGTTACAGAGTAACAGAGAACACTCCGAGTTGCAACTATTGTGTCGCTACAATAGTTGCAGGGCCGTTGCAGACAACGGTGAAGGGTGGAGGACAGCCTTCCGGATTAAGAGGAAGTCAAGATTAGCGAGCTTGATTCAGTGGATTCAAGAATCCGGAAGGGTTTCGGGACTGAAACTTTTAGCCTGTTATATAGACTTTTAGCTTCTTGTCATGTCCTGATTTGAATTTAATTAACATCTAGATTCATTTTGATAAGGATGAGAAGCTAGGAGTAGGGGGAAAGGGTTGATCCATCTTCGATGGAGATGATGATTTTTATCTACTGAACAAAAACAATAGTAATATAATAAGTAGTAGCCCTGTTTTTAGGAGTGACCTCGTGGTCTGGGGATACTGAGACCCAGCCATGACCTCACTGTTTCTGCATGTAATCTAGTTAATTTGAGTGTTTTGACCGAAGCCGAAAGAAGTAACGTTTTTGTCGACCCGATGTTAGAAAGACCACCGAAAAGTACTGGCTTGGTAGAGACGGTGAAAAGCATGCAAAGCTCTGTTTAGACGTTAGCCAGTCGTCTTAAGACTTAGTTTTGTCTTGCGTCGATATGTATCTTCCGGGCGAATGTTACATAGATGTTTTTATGGCGCTCCTGGGTGTTATTCTTTTTAACATCATGACCGGCAGAACCGTTAACGAGCACTCCGCGCCGAGCGGATGCTCACATTAACGCCCTTATTAGGCCTAAACCGCCGGGGCGGAGGGGTGGTTCGGAGCGCGGAAGCCCTCCGGATTACCGTGAATAGCTTTTTAACTTAGTTAAGACCGAAAATTCACGAACCAGGAAGGGTGGGGGGATCGGCCATTCCCTCGTTCCCTGAGAGGTTCGTGACCAAAAACACTTAAAGATACATATAAAACCAAACAAAAAGTAATATAGTACCCAAGAAAAACAAAAAACATAAAAAATAACCGAAAAAACCAAAAACAGTAAAAAAAAAAAGTAAAAAATCAGTAGAAATCATCCCCCCAGACAAGATGTGATCCGACCCCCCCGTTTGTTGTTGATAGATATATTGTTGTTACAGGCATTTATATCAGTCAGGATCGTTACGATCAGTTTTGTAGCCCGTTTGTGAGGCTTGTACTGTAGGGTTATTTGAGCATTTAAGCACGTTAATGATAAATTGCGCTCAATCCGGAAGGGTCAGCTGATTTGCGCTCAATTCGGAAGGGTCTTGGGAGAAGACTGATCCGGCAAGCAGTAAAAGGAGCAACAAGAAGAGGCTCAACGACAACAACAATCGACTGTTGGGTATCGTTAACAAGTTTTGTATCCCTTTTGGTATAAAAATTAAAATAGTAATCTGTGGGGGGCTCGACAGTGCTGCACTGTAGTGACCCTTCACCGAACTGCGAATATCCGAGTTAAGCACCTTAATTCGGATATTAAACAAACCCGGAGGGGTATAGTATTACTATTATTATTACTTATAGAGCCTATATTAATAGTCTTATATCGTTTTTCAGAGAAAAACAATGAAAACAGACCGGTTTTTAGGGTCAAAATAGCGATAATTTGATCCCCCCACAAGTCGCGATTTTTGAGATATCGATAATTTTTGAAACGGAAAAAAGCGCTAAAGTAGTGTGTTACATCGTAATTGCACTACCATAATAGATAGAACCGGTTAAGTTTAGTTCGGAAGTGGTTGGAGATATTTTGGAACAAAAAAACCGAATTTTCGTGATTTTTGAGAAACCGAAACACTAAAAATTCAGAAAATTTTTTGAAATTTTTGAGTTAGAACAGTAAAAATAGTTGTTCGGACAACGTCCACTAATGAATCTACAAGTTTTAAAACCCGCTACCCGTAAGCCTTCCCGGTTGCAGAGTAATCGAACTTAACGTGTTTGATTTGGTGGATTCATCAATCCGGAGGGGTACAGGTAGCATAGTTTTTTGCAAATTTTTTCAACTAAAGCGTTTTAGATCGGGTCTTTTGCATTGAACTAGAAGAGTATAAGCCTTCTGAGCTCGGATCAACAATTTTTAGGTCGAAAGGACCAGATTTGCGGAAAAATCTAGGCGGAACATATAAGAGAGAAATTTCTTGACTTTAGAAAAAAGACGTTTTGGTTAATAACTTTGGAACTACTGGGCATATCGAGTTGATCTTGGTACCAATAGATCAGAAATTAGCTGAGCTTACTGATAGGGACAAAAGTTTTTCGGAAAAGTAAGCGTGAAAATTTTTGAGATTGTTTTTAGCAAATTCCTCAATTTGGAAAGGTACACCCTTAACGTTTTACAAAATTTTTTTAGAAAAGCCCTTATACCCCTAACAAAAGGGGATAACGGTTGAATAAAGTAATTTTAGGCTGTGCTAGACGAAAAGGGAAGGCTAAAGGCACAGCAAAACCTTAATCGAGCCGAAGTTAGGCGAGCGATAAGACCCTTCACCGTTAGTGTGAATTGTCAAATAAGAGGCTTAACTTCAATCCGGAAGGGTCTAGGAAAGTAGCACATACCCTTCCTAGTTAATTGAAAGAGCAAAATTGCATCGGAGAACGTATCCGGAGGGGTATAGGTTGAAAGTAAGAAATCTCCGAAAAGCTACTTTTACAAAACCGGAGGGCTCCCAATCCGGAGGGGTCAAAAATTTTTTCAAAGTAGGGGTCTTATAGTTGCTAATTCGGAGGGGTCCAAATCCGGAGGGGTCTTATATTAACTAACTCAGAGGGGTCCCAATCCGGAGGGGTCTAGATTCTGCCAGTCCGGAAGGGTCCTATTTGTGCCAACCCGGAGGGGTATTATTTTATTAAAGGACTTAGGTAGGCGAAAGAAAGACTAAAGTGAGAGGTATTAGGTTATTAGCACACAGGCTAGGGATCAGTGACTGCACTGGTAACTTGCCTTTCAATAAGAACCAGACCAAAACAAAACAGGTCCGAACTCGGATATTCGCGACACTAAGTCTAAATTAAAAAGAGCGTGATTCATTGGTGTGGATTGTAACATAATACGTTTTTGGGAAAAGTGACTGCCGTGAGGAGTTTAGTAGGTCTAGCTCGGGCAGTCCGAAGGCAGATAGGTAACACAGTACTCGGTGGGTGCAATAGACGCCCACTTGAGAAAACTACTGCCTTCAAAGTTTTGTCTGTTTGGTGCAGCACCAAGCAGGGAAAGCTTTTTCTTTAAAGAAACAAGTTCGACTATTGTACTGCGACCGACTAAAAGTACACTACACATACGTTTTTGTTCATAGAGGCATTAATATTCTGTCATTATATATTTTTTTTGTTTTTGATTTTAAATCAACTGTGCTTGATTGGGTAGTGAGTACACTGTCATTCAAATTAACTGATAACATCATATTGTGCTAGTTTTCAAATCTTACGACCGATAATCGGTTAGTGTGAATAAATTTTATACAAACTGTATTCTGATAAAATACAGGGATTCGTGGTCACTATTTACTAGAATCTTGTGAAATTTATTGTGTTGTGTCATTATTATTGTTAATAAAACTATAAGGTATCTAGCAATCGGGTTAAGTATAGGCATTAATAAGTGACAAATAGAGAATGAGTCTAGACAAGTCAAGAATACCAAAACGAGGTAATAGCTCTAGGAAATTCATACCTGAAAAGCAAAGAAAAACAATGACCGACCCTTTTGTAGATCGGATCAAGCGATCCCGGTCCGATAAAGGGGAGACGGTTTCAGGCAGAATGGTTGAAACGAGAAGTCAGAAGACCTCAGAAGAGCGAAAAGAACTGTTAGAAGTGGAGGTCAATACGGACCATACCATGAACGACAACCTGGAAGTAAATGGACTGGAAGGGAGAGGCAGAAGGCTGGCGAGTGAATCTACTCCGGTAGAACAAGGCCATGATTTTGCCACTTCCACCGGGACATTGGATCGAGAGGAGATGTCGGAACTGTCCGACATCTCAACTGAAGTAACGGCAACTAGAAGATCTCCGACAGACAACACTATGATGGCAGGCGGAACTGGGAAACAAACAACGTCGTCATCATTCTCAGAAAGAATGAAGAACACCTTCGGAAACATCTTTCCATTCAGCATGGGAGGAGGAGCAGGAAACGACGGTGAATCCCAGGAGGAAGAGGATGAAGAGGAGCAAGGAGACTTTGGATCTCAAGTCAGCCTCAATAGTTCGATCCAGGAGAACGAGGCATACGTCGGAAGA